TTGGTGCTTGGTGCTGGTGCTTGGTGCTTGGTGCTTGTGCTTGGGGTGCTTGGGTGCTGGCTTGGTGCTGGTGCATGGTGCTGTGCTTGGTGCTTGTTGCTTGTGCTTGGTGCTTGTGTCTTGGTGCTTGTGCTGGTGCTTGGTGCTTGGTGCTTGTGCTTGGTGCTTGGTGCTTGTTGCTTGTTGCTTGTTGCTTGTGCTTGTGCTTGTGCTTGTGCTTGTGTTGCTTGCTTGTGCTTGTGCTTGTGCTGTGTGCTTGTGCTTGTGCTTGTGCTTGTGTGCTTGTTGTGCTTGCTTGTGCTTGTGCTTGTGCTTGTGCTTGTGCTTGTGCTTGTGCTTGTGCTTGTGCTTGTGCTTGTGCTTGTGCTTGTGCTTGTGCTTGTGCTTGTGCTTGTGCTTGTGCTTGTGCTTGTGCTTGTGCTTGTGCTTGTGTTTGTGTTTGTGTTTGTGTTTGTGTTTGTGTTTGTGTTTGTGTTTGTGTTTGTGTTTGTGTTTGTGTTTGTGTTTGTTTGTGTTTGTGTTTGTGTTTGTGTTTGTGTTTGTGTTTGTGTTTGTGTTTGTGTTTGTGTTTGTGTTTGTGTGTGTGTGGGTGCGTGTGTGTGTGCGTGCGTGCGTGCGTGCGTGCGTGCGTGCGTGCGTGCGTGCGTGCGTGCGTGCGTGCGCGTGTGCAAGAGAGTGCGCGTGCATGTTTGTTTGCGTGCGCCTGTGCGTTTGCGTGCTCCTGTGCCGGTTGCGTGCTCGTGTGCGTGTGCGTGTTTGTTTGCGTGCTCGTGTGCATGTGCGTGCGTGTGTGGGTTTGCGTGCGCGTGTGCGTTTGCGTGTGCGTTTGCACGCTCATGTTTGTGTGTGTGTGTGTGCGTGTGCGTGTGCGTGTGCGTGCGCTTGTGCTTGTGCCTTTAGAACTGAGCTGAACTCAACTTTGAAGGAGCTGTTTGGGTGCAGTTGTTCTCCTAATTTGAGTCTAGGCGGTTCTTAAAGGTCTGGAGTGTCTGCAGTGAAACTGACCCAACAAGGCACCAACACATTGGTTCGTGGGCGGGGTGTAGAATAGATGTGTGTGTGTGTATATATATATATATATATACATATATGTATGTATATCTTTAAGTATTTATGTATGCTATGCATGCATGCAAAGAAATGGAATACTGTGCAATACAGTGCAATGCAATGAAATGCAATATGTATACATGCATGTATGCCTGTTGTGTGATGCAATGCAGAGCAACATATCGTAATGTAATGTGTTCATACATTAATATATAGATATACATCTGTATATATATATATATATATGTGTTGTACATATCATATACATCTACTTACAACATATTTGTGTGTATATATTTGCATATATTCAAGCAAAGCTCTTGGGCTTCGCTTTTCAAGCTGATTCGAGCAGAAACAAAGGTGCCATGCAAGCGCCCCAACAATGGTTTCCGTACTGAAAGGACACATCCACGCACACAAGTCAGCCTCCTGTGAGGCCAGTGCCGTAGCCCTGTTGGCTCAAACGAAAACGGGCACGCCTGTTGGGTAAGCAAGCCTGTCCCCATTCGCAAACATGAAGGAGCCTCTTGGATTGAAGAAAGCCATTCTCCTTTGGGGGAGTTCTTGTTCTTTGTGCCGGAATGCCCCACGCATCACCAACAAAAAAAACCATTGGCTAAGACCCCATAGCTGCGGTTAAATAAATAAATTATTTAAAAAAAAAAAAAAAAAAGCAAACTGCCATCGCCTCTCCTGAAAGGTACCGTCACCGTAGGCCTTCCAGCCATACTTGATCGCGCTCCGGATCGCCGCGATGGACAAGATCTTGTACATGGCCTCGACCAAGCAAAGCACCCATGGTTCGCGCAGGGGGGGGGTCCAAGCCCTTGTCGAACCTTAACGAGGGTACCTACGCTGTCGAGGCATTGGGGTGCAAAGCGTAGAACCCGCGCATGCGTGCCACGAAAGAGCGACTATGGTGTTTGCAGCGCGTTGGACAACCTGAACAATGCAAAGGATGATAAGGATGGGGCCTGGCCGCATGGATGTTGAGTTGCGGCTGCCGCGTGTTTGTTGGTTGAGCCCTGGCGCGGACTTGGCCGCTTGACCTCGGCACAGCTCCCCGGATGCTTTCTCACCTCCCGGCAGAAGCATGGCTCTTAAATCATGCGCCGTGGGCATCTGCATCCCAGGGAGGCAGATGTGATGAATGCTGCACGCCCCTCCTCCTGGAAAAAACAAAAAACATGCAAGAGACGTCCGGATGAACTGCGACTTGCAGGCAAGCGGAAGTTCTCCCTTTGGCTTTTTGTTTTTCGCCTCCAAAATCCAAGGCTTCCAGCACCCATGCACAAAGCCGTCCCCGCAGTTTCTCAATATCCTCAATACGCCGTAAACATGCAAAGTGCAAATCTATCCTGCCCTAGGACTAACAGATTACAGTAAGCTCAAAGCGAACCTCCTCGCATGCCCTTGGCAATATCCCGAGTCACCAGTTGCGCCGCTTGCAAGTTGGTGGCATTGTAGCTGCCGCGCACATTCATCAGCCCGAAATTCAGCAAGGGGATCGCTTCCATGTGAGTGGAGATGCCATCAGGGAAGTCACTGTCGCGCTTCCAGTTGAACCTACCCCAGAATCTCTGTGCGATCCCGATGTTCAGAAAGCCAGGGTCCCTCTCTTGGTGTAACACTGCCAAAGCCAGTTATTTTGCCGCAATGCGCTGCCACATCTAGCCTAGCAAATACAGGTCCTGGCTTTCATTTGGGCTGACATGGACGGGAAGGTAGAACAAGATGTAAGCGGTCTTCGCAGCCAACAACCATGGAGAGCGGTACAAGTTACGGGCTGAGCTTTCCTTCCGCATGGACACTCGGTGGGCTACCCTGAGGAACAATCCTTTGGAAATCGCCCCACATCGAACAAACCAAGTCCAAACGCCTGGGATCCAAACAGTGAAGTTACTGGTCTCCCATGAAGCCAACACCAATAAACTTTTTGAGCACACAAACAATCACAATAAAGAAGGGCAACAGGGACGTCTGCAAGGTATGAAGTGCTCCTGTAGCTGCCGTCCTTGAAAGTCGCATGTGGCAGTAGGTTTCATCTCTGGCGAGCTTGAATGTTGTCTTTCACACAACCGCAGCATCGCGAGGGCATCCCGTCAAATGCGAGATTGGCATCTCCTAAAGATACCTAGAACACCTTGTTGCGCAAGGCCAGAAACAACAGCAGATTTGACCCCGTTAAAGTCTAGCACCAGCTGACTTGCTGATTGTGATAAGATATCGAGGCCTTGGCAAGGTGTTGCAGCAATTCTCAAGAGTTTGATATTCTCCAGACAATATTCATTGCCCCCGCCAACTGACATTGGATGTTGGCGAGTAAACCCCAGTGGATGAGCATGCAGGTCTACGGCTGCTCCAGTCAGTTGTCGCACATTGTTTGGCAATGGCCGTACAAACTGGACCTTTCGTTGGAGCCTTTGCGGTTTTCCCTGTTCAAGAATTTCATATATCGCAGGTTTACCTGGACAAGAACGGACAGTTTAAAGACTCCTGCCTGCATGATGGCTCCTTCACATGACACCTCCCGCGTAAAAAAAAAAAAAGCGCTGGCATCTATCTCAAGCGGAATGGCCAAAGATCTCCTGTGAGCTGAACAATCGTCGCTCAGTCTCCTGCGGGAACACTGCTGTAAGCCGAATCAACGAGGTTTTCTTGGCCAGCATGCATGCCAAAGACCACATCTTCCTATCTGCTCATCTACGTCCGTATCAGTCTATCTTCCCATCTTCCCGTCAGCCACGGCGCTCGTAAGGCGAGTAGAGGTTCCCCGGTGCGCTGCCGGTGTAACCATCACCGATGACAGCCGCAATGTTTCCCACATAGAAGGCAGCGGCCTCTGGTTGTTACTATTGCCCCATCAACCATGCATTCCTTTCTGTGTCGCAAGAACAGAAACTAGCCGTTGCTCATGTCCTTTTCAGGAAACAAGCTATGATCACTGGGGCTCATGTGTCAAAGCCCAGAATCCTTGTGAGCATCTGGTGTCCCGGGCACTACAGAACAGTTGGGACCTGCTAAGCAGGTGCGTCCAAGCTAGGTGCCTGTGAAAAGGCGACCTGCAGTGGGTTGGGCCCTCCTGCGAAAATTGAATGTCTGAATCTTAAAAGCATGGAGCCAGAAACACTTGATCACTCAGGAAACGTTTTGTGAGCCCTCACTGTGACAGGCTGCTGTTGCAAGCCTTGCATGACATCTGAAAGCCCGCCTTCCAGGATGCATGTCTCATCCCTCTCTTGAAAACGATCCCTTCAAAACTCCAATGGTGGTTGGTCAGTCCGATATTCCGGACCAAGACAAGCTGATCCGATGAGCTCTGCGATTGGAAAGAAGAGAATTCCTTACACAGGGCTGCGGCCTGAGTTTGGCTGTCCATGTTGCTATCAGCGCCCAGGAAGTCTGGAGATTGTATGCCTGGAACCAGAAAAACGCCCGCCTCATCCCAGGCATACGCCGCTTGGGCGTCCCCCAGCTCGCCCTGCTCCGCCTTCCACACCGCGGCGCCCATCTCGTAGGTCACGTAAGCAGTGACCACGCCGATGAGTCCTTCATCCCATTTTCGGGCGGGAAGGCGAGCTGTCCCGCAGGATCAGTGAGGGATGTCGAGGGAATTCAAAAAGATTCTTACGCGCGTCATGTTGACCTCGCATCAATCCGAACCGGAATCCAAGGATCGAAATGATTTGATGATGTCATTTTCGCAAGACACGGCAGAACCCACAGTGCCCCCGACCCTGTCAGTGGGAAAGCCAACATGTGAAGCTTGAAATAACAAGCCTCCAAACTCGGAGTTCGAAGCGCAGGGAAGCAGCACGAGAGCCCTCGGAAACTGGCCAACAAGAAGTTTCGCCGAAGGCATGCTGAAGAGCAAGCAGTGATCACTCTCTTAGGATGAACAGATGCGTGAGAAAGCTCAGCACAGAAGCTCTGCGAGATTTCTAAGCTGAAGACTTCTCGCTAAGAGGATTCTGGCTCTTGCCGAAGCCCAAGGGTTTCCTGGATTTGTAGCTGAATGGCTAAGCAATGCTGCTGTACACCGCAGCAGCCAACTAGTGATTCAGTAGGGGGGATGCTAAAACGTGCGGTTCAGTTGGTCCAGCTTTGTCAGCTTCCAATGAGCACAAAGCAAAGCCTGCACGAGACTTTTGTCGGTGCCCCGGACGTGCCTTTGTTGATGATGTATTGCCGAAAGGAGTCGCTCTTGCCTGGCAGGCTTGCCGCATGTGTCCGTGGTACTGCCTACCTCGGAAGCGGGCTTCGCTAGCTTTCACCGCCGGAGCAAGAAACGCAAACAGAAATGAGTCTCGGAACGGATTCCAAGATACGGAGAGCGAAAACATACTTACACCATCTGACGCGGGGATCCAGGACGGAACCTAAAACCAGGAACCTTCCTGCCAAATCCTTCGTGAACCCGACAAAAGCCATAGCCAACTAAGACTCCTCTTCCCCAGTCTCCCACCTGCGCAAAAGCTGCTGTTATCCAGGCAGGCAATGATGGGGTCCTGCCACACGGCGTTGATGGAGCCGTACAAAGCGAGAGCCCCGCTGTAGAAAGCGTTGGTGTACTTTCCGCCGGAGGTCATATCCTGGCCGGAAACCGCAACAAATGGATGGCACTGACCCTGCAGCCGCTCACGACGTGAGCCTGATCTGATACGCCATGCAATGTCATGGACATGGCGTTTTTGCCACAAGTCACGGAAGACACCGGCGCAGCTTCTCGATTGGCATCATGCCAAAACAGTGCCCCTCGAGCTCTCAGCTGTGTCTATCAGAAGGGTTGACGTTGTCAGCCCTGATCACAGGCACCAACTCAAGTCTTCGGAACGAGATTCAATACCGTCCCAAAAGCCTGCATCTTGAGGCAGAAAGACTCGGGGAGGGCTTGACAGAGGAACTGCCAAAGTGATCATAATCTGAATCCGGTGGACAATAGCGAGACACTGCAACAACAAGCCGCGTAGGCAGCAAACATGGAGGAAAGGGACCGCCAAGACTCTACGACAACCTTGATGCAGACTGACAAGCTGTTCAAGCTGCATAACAATGTTGCCCAGCACCTTCGCCGGCGATCTTGCGGGATATGTCGACATCTTCTGCAACTCGCAACTCTGAACCAGCACAGCTTTTCGAAAAGAAGGTGCCAACGAAGGTCACGAAGTTGCATGCAGCCTTCCGAGCACCTCCGGTTGGTGTATGCTGCTCTGCTTGGTGGATTGACAGAAGGCTCCGAACATTCCCCAAGGAAGCGACTCCGCAAGGGGAAAGCCGCAAAGTCCAAAAGCGACCAAAACGACCAAATGGCTCTTGCTCGAGCTTTCGGATTTCCGTGTTGAGCCCTCGATCTTTTCTTCGGCCCAGACCGGCTCGGGATCTCCCGGTCGCCTTCTGGGCGAGGTCCTGCAGAGTGCGCATCTCCCCGAGGCCTTTGGAGGAGAAGTTGCCGCTGGTGTACACATCCTTCCCGAAAATTGCTTCGAGCAAGAAATCGGGCGGAAGATATGCCAGGAACTGAAAACGCCCAGTTTGGACAAAATCACTTTCCAACAGGGACCCTCTTTCAGGTTGGTTTGTTTCGCGAAGGGTGTCTTTGCTCCATGCCGACTAAGGGGGAGTATGATATGAGGAAACAGGGCTTCCTCCCGCTTGGAATGCCGAAGCACGGTGCTTCCCGAAAATCAAGTGCATGGACCAGAACAGAAAGGCTTGCCCCAATGTGTTCATTTCCTGAAGAATGGGTCTTCACTGCAGATGACAAGGTGGGCGTACAGCGTGGGTGAAGCTCGACTTTGCAGCTCCAACGACGGTGCGTTTGACTGGCGCGTAAGATCATGACACCATTCCGAGTTGTTTGAACATGGCTTGAACTCCCCCCAAACGAGGCACACAAGGACAGGATCAGTGGCTTGGCACGACTTTCGTGAGCTGCCAAACCTGCCGCACCTAAGGTCGCTCACCCTGTAAAATTCTCAGGGTGTCGGACAATTTGTTCAATGGACTGCAAATCCTCCAGGTTGCCCACCTGCTGACTCCCTTTGGAATCTGCCTGCTTCCGCAGCAAAAAAAGCCGATCCAAGCCTTGAGGTCAGTGCAAATGGCGTCGGGCATTCAATCTTATGGTCTCTGGTCAGTGCAGCCCCATCCAATGTGCGTCTTTTCCGTTGTTGTGTCGTGAATGGGATGAGTCTTGACCGCAACCCATGTGCAGACATTGCCCATCCTCCCGAGGAAAACACACATCTCCAACAGCAGGCTTGGGAACCTCACATGGCACAGTCTGCAGATGATTGGAGCATTCAGTCAGTTGGACCCCAAAGGCCCCAGTTCAGTTCTCTTCGAAACATTTAGCCGCTTCATAGTTCCACTCCCCGTTTTCAACCAACAAATCCTCTGAGCATCCTATCCCCGTCTTCAAAATCCCCTGAGCGAGCAGTCGGCCAGGGGTAGGTTTCGACCCGAGGCCTTGGCCGCGGTGTAGTCCCCCGCACTCAGCAGCTCCTACCGATCCCGGGGAAATGACAGGTGCTCTTTTTTCGGGCTCCTTGTACTGGGGTCACTATTTTGACGGCTTCTGGGGGTTATCAAAGTCAGAAAATGGGGGTTGTTTCCCTTTTACCCACCACTTAGGGGTGACTTTGATCATGATGAAATGATGAGGCCAGGTTTAAACCGAGACGTTGTTGTTTGTATAAAAAGCACCCAGGAACGCAGGGGAACGCAGGGGCTTAAAGGAAAGAAAAGGAAAAAGGCGGCTCAAAGGAAACCAGGGAGGAACGGAGGGATGTCCAAAAATGGTACTGCTGGGAACGGGGCCAACCCTGTTTGCTCACCCGTTATCAACAGTGAAAAGTGTGGATGAGAACCGCTGTCTGCCAGATGCAAAAATGCTAGCCCATGCTCTTCATGAACAGCTGGATTTCATTATGCTACAAGTGCATAAAAATGTGTATACGTATATGTATTCATCAAGGGAATTGTCGAGAAATCTGGCATCACCTCTTGTGAGAGGGACCCACTTGCAGATTGTGTCGTGTATGTCCATGAAAGCAAGATTTGTGCAATGACCAAGACTCCGTGGAGTACGGGCAAGGTTCAAGAATATTTTGGCAGGATTCTTTTGCAAAAGCCCCCAAGGATCGTTGTCAAAGTGCTGATGCCATCCTTTTTGTTCTCCACAAGCGACCAAATCTCAAATGACCATGGCACTTGAGCCGAGTACTGACTAAAACATAAAGTGTCCTTCAGAGTGAAAGAAGGTTTCAGCAACAGCCATGCATCATGCAGAGCAATCCTTCACAAGAACCATTTAGACGTTAGATTAATCCCAGCGGTGGGCCACCAACAAAGCCCCTTACGGAATGTGGTATGGTTCTAGTTAAGCCTCATCGTGCTGGTCTACATATCCTGTTGAAGGGTTGATCACAACTGTTGACCCCAAACAAACGCGTCTTTTGGCCATGTCAGATTTGGGCCATGATCCAAACTCCATCCCGGAGGTCTATCAGGTTCCAAATGATCTATTTCATACCGTATGCCTGGGTCGCCAAATCCCAAACAAACAAAACATGGATTGATGGAAGTCCCTAACAAGACCTCAGCTCACGCCTTTGACCATGCCACGATTGAAACACAAGCAATTCAGCTGGAAATGCAACGGCTGATCTGTTGCTTGGAAACCGTCAGTCCGTCAGTCCGTCCGTCCGTCCGTCAGTCCGTCAGTCCGTCAGTCCGTCAGTCCGTCAGTCCGTAGTCCGTCCGTCAGTCCGTCAGTCAGTCCGTCAGTCCGTCAGTCCGTCAGTCCGTCAGTCAGTCAGTCCGTCAGTCCGTCAGTCCGTCAGTCCGTCAGTCCGTCAGTCTGTCAGTCCGTCAGTCCGTCAGTCCGTCAGTCCGTCAGTCCATCAGTCCGTCAGTCCGTCAGTCCGTCAGTCCGTCAGTCCGTCAGTCCGTCCGTCCGTCCGTCAGTCCGTCCGTCCGTCCGTCAGTCCGTCAGTCCGTCCGTCCGTCCGTCAGTCAGTCAGTCCGTCAGTCCGTCAGTCCGTCAGTCTGTCCGTCAGTCTGTCAGTCCGTCAGTCCGTCAGTCCGTCAGTCCGTCAGTCCATCAGTCCGTCAGTCCGTCAGTCCGTCAGTCCGTCAGTCCGTCAGTCCGTCCGTCCGTCCGTCAGTCCGTCCGTCCGTCCGTCAGTCCGTCAGTCCGTCCGTCCGTCCGTCAGTCAGTCAGTCCGTCAGTCCGTCAGTCCGTCAGTCTGTCCGTCAGTCTGTCAGTCCGTCAGTCCGTCAGTCCGTCAGTCCATCAGTCCGTCAGTTCGTTTGTTCGTCCGTCCGTGAGTCAGTCAGTCAGTCGGGCAGGTTTGTGTGCATGTGTGAAAAAATGACAAGCCCTTCAAAAAGATGTGCAAGACGCCATGTGCCGCCTTGATCAACTTCACGTCTCGGTTGACGTCGGCATGCTCCGTCACATCGTTCACAGGACAGTAAAGCCTCGGTTCAGGGATCGCGGACCGAAAGAAACTGGGCAGCTCAATCCAAAGCATCCAGGATGCTGTAGGCGCAATGCCAAAGACACATCTGGGAGTTCAACAAACTCTGCGTACCTGGACGGTAAGCTATGTCATGACCCTAGTTCTAACCTGCTGAACTGGGTGAAGTGAAAGTTGTGAATGGCTGCATATTTCTGGAATGCTTGTCACCAAAAGATCTCACTCGGGTCAATGACCAACCTGAGTCCTTTGCCTTCCAGGAACTCCTCTCGGCACAAATCCCAACATCGTTGAACAAAGAATGGGAATGTTTGTTTTGACTTTTAACGATACTTGAAAGGAAACAAAGGAGAACCATTGTTTGTTCCAAATTCCGGTGTATATGATAATGCGGTTGAATGCGCCATTGAAATTGGACGGAACCTAGCTGCTGGCAACTACGCACACAGGGGGCATGTCAGCCGGATTTTGCAAACCTCAATGGGTCATACGACTCATATGTCGTGCACTGGCAGCATCTGCTTCAGCCATGCTCTAATGCCTCCAGATCTTGGTTCTTCCCACCAACTGCCGTCTACGAAACATTAAAATCAAGTTCTGGCAGGGGATTAGAGCTGTTAGTGGTCCCTGGGAGACATGGCTCACGGATTCCCTCAGCGCTCGTTCTCTCTGCTGCCTTGGAGCCCATCCGAGAGCTTGGGGCAGGCGCCGGTGCAGGGCCCTGCAGCCGCGAAGCTCAACTCCAAGGCCAACACGAAACGCAGCATGGCGCGGAAAGCGGACAGCGAAACGGCGCACGGGAGCTGGGGCCAAACTCTGCGGAACGCAAGCGCTTAAGAGCTCAACACCGCTTTTGTGGATAAAGACAAGCCTTGCCCATCCCGGACTCTGCACTGCAGAAAGTGTATTCAAACAGAAAAAATGCTATGCTCTGATTCGTTGAGGTCTGAGCCCCTGTCAGTTCACAATTCTATGTCTGAGCTGCAAACATGGCGACGCACTGTGACTCCCAAACATGTTCCTCGCAGACAAGACTCTTTGGCACCCGAGTTCGGTTTGAGCAATGCTTGTGCCAAGTATGCTCACAATCTCATAAGGGAGCGCAGAAGCCCCTGCATGAGAGCATGGCAACACCTGTTCTGGGCTCACCCTCAGAGTGCAGGGCTTGGAGGTGCCGCACAGTTCCGGACCACAACCACTCGATTAGTTGGGGTCACACTCCAGGACCCCATGTTGGATGCAATCAAATCAGGGACTCTAGTGCCGACACGCACATGCAATTCTGTTCAAGCCGGCAGAGTAGATGAGGTCCAACGGCCCCAAACGTCACGACCCCGCGTGCCGTCAAAGAATATGATGAGGGCGGCGAAGGAAAAGTGATCCTGGGCTAGCGCAGAAGGAAGCGGCTGAGATTGGCCGATTGGCCAGAGAGTCCAAACAGAACAAGAAAGCTCACAAATAAGAGCAATAAAAAAAGTTGCGGGACATGTGGATGGCAGTTTACTTGTGAGCCCTTGGCACTTGGCACTGCATGTCCAACCGAATTAGTAAAAACAAATGAGAGGATATGGTTTCAAACCATGAAAGGGGAACCCTCACAAAAGCACACACGCACCCAAAAGTGTCGGTTTTTCCTTTGGCGTTCCTTTAAACCAAGGTGAACAAGCTACGCACAAGCACGATCCACACTCATCACGCGAGGCGCTTGTCCACAATCCATTGTAGACCCAGGGTCATGCCTGGCTGCCTGCGGGCCTGCAAACAGAAAATGATGCGCTGCTAGCTCTGGGAAAGCCAAAGGACCCAAAGGTTGCCACCTTGGTCCATCCAAGTGAGTTTCAGCGCCATTAAGTCCTTAAGTCCAAACAGCCCCCATCTCCAGCTTCGGTCGCTTGCAGCTTTCAAAACCTTCCTTCGCGGCAAGTGTCCTCCGGGAGCTGTTTGTCCACAAAACCAATGCATCGCCTCACTCACCTTGCTTTACAGGGTCTTCTCAGTTTGTCTGGCTGCAAAGCGGAAAGCGGAGACTCCTGTCCCTTCCATCTGCCTGGCCTTCCGGCCGCGGCTAGCAGCGGCCCGAGAACAGGCCAAAAGGCTGTGGCACAAGGCACAAGCTTGCTTGGGCTTCACGAGACAATGTAATTGTTCAGTCATTCAGACAGGCTGTCACGCCTAAAAACAAAAGCTAGAGACAACCTCGAGCTGAGGTGAGCTGAGTCGAACAGTGCTTCCTGCGGGCCGCTTCGCGTGTCCCTTCCGGACCACTCGAGTGGTCCTACGCTAGCACCCCGGCCCCCAGGGTTCTCTGAGCCGGATCACCCGCGCGGCTAAAAGGGCAACTCTGAAGGAGTTAGGATCCCCCGGATCTCTATGGGCGGGGTCCCAATTCGGCAAGTGTTGGGCTCGAGTTCTCGGCCAAGCAGGTCGGCATCCATGCATCATTCGGCTGAGGTGAACGATGAGTCAACGCCAACAACTCGGCAACTCGGCAAGTGCCCAGCGCCAGCGAAACAATGACAAGACCAACAACGAACCTGGTAAGTCGATTGCAAGTCCTCCTTCTCCCCGGGCTTGGTTCGCCAATGGCTGGCGAATGATTTCCATGCACCGTTGAAGCCAAAGGCATGGGAGGGCCGATTCCGCTTCACACAGTGGAAAACTCCGCTACCCCAGGAGCTACCTCAGGCACTCACACACACTACCACCAATGGCTCGCTCATCTTTTCTCCGCATCTCTGCGCAAGGTCTTGTCCTGTGGCCAAGCCAGGGCTCAACAAGCTTGCAGCGGGCTGGGCTGTGTTTTTGCGCCACTCCTATTGCGTGCCCCATGCGCGCATGTACAAAAGAACTGCCTGCTGAGTGTGGAAACATTTCTGTGGGCCATCAACTTGCTTTGCCATGATGGTTTTCTTTGTTTTGCCTTGATGCGTGCATTGATTCTGTCAAGATTTGAACATTGCTGCATTTGGTTTGCAGTAGGTGCACGCTTCAGCTCGATCAAATTGAATGATCCCCGCACCCAACGCGGCAAGTGTTTGGGGAGGGGGAATCCCGAAAGAAGGGCAGGCGTTCACATAGCATTCTGGAGCAGTCCAGTCAGTCGCACCTCCACGCCGGCCAGCCGCCGCTGCAAAAGGTCCGGCGCTGGCAAGGCGCCCTAGGCCGGAAGTCGGTAGGATCGCGAGGGGGTCGGGTCTTTTTGAGACTACCCTTTTCAGGTTGGCGCAAAAGGTGTGGCGTTTCAGGGAATTCGGGGCGGTCCCTGCTTTGACACCCCTCATGCTTTCTCTTTTGGGTTGCCAGCTGTAGCTTTCTGTGGCTACGCCCTTCTTGGTATCCCGATACACGCAGGCTATGGCACATGTGTTTGAAGGTGGCTCCCAGTGTCGGTGATAAAACAGCTTGCATGCCAAGAGTCAAGAAAATCTCGCTGATGTGTCTGTGTGTGTGTATGTCATCCTCTTGATGTCCGAGGTATTGCAGGCCCCAAATGCGCGAGATCCCTCTCCTGTGTGTGTCTGTGTGTGTTTGTGTCTACAAGCGGTCACTCGCATTCTTGACCGCTGCTCATGCCGCGCAGTCAGTGGTACCGGAAAAAGCTGCCTTCGCGCATGCAGCGCTGTCAAGTCCAATGCTCTTCTTAAGATGGACTCTATACTGCGAGTAAGAGGGGACAAAAAAACATGTCCACGTGACATCCACAAAGAATGTAAGTCAGAGGGATCCGCACACTTTGAGATTCGAGTCACGACTCCAGGCAACAGACCGATCGTGAACGCTCGTGGCGCCCGTGGCAAGTGTGGAAACTCTCCGAGTCCAGCGGGCCAAAAGGCATGCGACCACGGCTACCAGCTGGATCGAGCTGGTCAGCCTCTGAGAGTTGTGGCGGCCAACCCTTGGGCTGCGGCGGCTGGAAGGATTGGCACGCACGGCAAACGGCAGTCTCGGAGCCAGCTGCGGAAGGTCCGTGGATGGGCCCAGCGGCGACCGGCCATGCAAATGGAGGCAACAATCATAGTCGTGGCATGGACCACGATCGCCTGGAGGACGACTGGACGATTGGCAGTTCCCAGAGCAGCACAGCCGAAGATCCCTTCGAGCTTTCCCAGTGAAAGAGACGGCCCATGGGATGATCTCAACTGAGGGCTCGCTGGTCTCGTCTTCGTGGGTTTTGCCCATCTCACTCGTGGAAAACGAGGGTTCTCAAATGGTTCCGACAAGCCGAGCAAACAAAACCACGACCTGACCTGACCGCAAAGGAGGGAATTAGCAATGGAGTGGCCGAAGAGCGAAGGCCTTGACGGGCCGGAGGTTCAAATGTTCAAGGGCCTCACCCGCGCCCGCAAAGTGACATCCACGTTCGCAACGATCGTCACACATCAGTAAAGCCAAAAAAAAGAGGCTAAACAAAATGGGCTTAATAAAGCAAACGCGCCACCAAGATGTCATGCGGCCGAACTAGGGTCTCGAAGTCTCTCGGCACTATGAGGACGATCTGAATGACATCTTTCCTGTATGCAATGTGACGAAGTCGATCACGAACTGTCATCACAGCCTTGGCATTCCTTTCGATGATGTCCATTGCCGCTTTCCGTTTCGCTTCGGAATCCGTGGCCCAGCCCGCTAGGGCGGCGGGGTTGTCGATGTAGCCAATTGCAACCGACAACGCTGTCGGGGGCCACCGGTCAGCCGACAGATCAGCCGAAAGACAGGGCAGCCTTAAAACTAGAGTTACGTTGTGGTTTTGTCTTTTGAACCCTATGCATGGGGGTCCCCCATTTCAGGACTATCCTGAATTAAACGGCTGCCTGGGGCGCGCAAAGCCCAATTACAAGCATTCATGAACAACCTGCCAAAACATTGGGTTGCCTGCACGTCTTTCCGTGGCTTGACATGGACCAGGATGAGGGATTCAGTTTTCGATGGCCAATCCTGGGGCTCGCGGTCCCATCAGTAGGAACTCTTGAAAAACCAGCCTTGTCTACTTGGTGATTCATCTTTCAGCAGACTTGCCCATCTTTTGCGCTATCGGACAATGTCTTCTGCGCTGCATCGAAGAGCTCACTGACCACCTTGGATGATTGTTGGATGCAATGGCCCAGAAAGTCTTGTGGATCAACAGATATTCGTAACTGAGAAATACCGAGCAGCCATGCGTTGCTTTTGTGCTACCAAGTCGAACCAAGTTCAACTACAGACTGTTAGGTCTTGTTAGGTCTTGTATATAGGTGGCCTCTCATAAAGAGGGCCCGATTGTTACAGCACGAAAGCGAGTGTTGATGGCCGTTTAAGGCTCTAAGCCACATATGTACTCTTCTGCCAAAGCAAGCTAGTGGAGTTCTTAGGTTGGGATACAGCCCTTACGGTACAGGCTCAGCGCATGACAAATGCTTGATGAACACAATGGCTTTACATACTCTCTCAAGTATTGTGACGACGACCTAAATGCTTGTCTGGCATATGCCACCCATCCCTCTGCTATCAGTGTTTGCACGATACCCCGCAAATCGCAATCAAATCCAAGAGCAACAAACTATCTGCTTGATTTAAAGGCAACTGATCTGTTCGCTCCACATGAAGTCTCTGTGCTTATGATCACCACTTGGTAAACAGGTGCTAATGAAAGGCAAACTTCCAGCTTGACCTTCTCTTTCGCACACATCAGTTGCAACACCTCAGCTGATTGCTTCGCGCGCATGAAACAACGCTGAGCTCTTCCCAAAACCTGCAGCCAGGAAGAGCCTGCCCCCGATCACCCTGCACCCGTTTGCTTGGGAAGAAATTGCATTGCCGGCTCTGAATTCATGGGAGCACGCCCAAAAGAAATGACGACAATTTGTCGTAGTCCAATCAGTCCCCTGCATGCCCACTGCATGCCCGCAGCCGCAGGACTCAATGCAAGTGGTGTAGCAATACTGGTCTCTCACTGGTTATTGCACCTTCTGATTGCATGTGAACCAGACCCACGCGCCCAAAGCCCACAGCCCAAGGTACCGTTCCGGAGCGAGGACTCGTCGAAGGACACGTTCTTGGTTAGCTTCCCGCTGGACCGACGCTCTGCGCGGCGCCCAGCCTGCGGAAGGGGAGCGGGAAGTGGAGGGGGTCAAAACGACCGAAGAAAGAGACGGAGAGACTCACAATCCACCTGCAACCTGGCAGGGAATCGCTCTGGTTGCGATACAGGAGCCTTGGTGGAAAAAGCCCCTGTCCAAGTGCAACTTCACAAGGTCAAGCGCGACTCCTTCCTGCATTAAATTTGAACATAGTGATAATAATAATAATAAATTAAAAATAATAATAATAATAATTAAAAATAATAATGATAATAATAATAATTAAATAGTATAATAATAATAATAAAATAATAATAATGATAATAATGACAGTAATAATATCTATAGAAATAATAATAATAATAACGATAATAAATAACAATAAAAATAATAATAATGATAATAATAACAGTAATAATATCTATAGAAATAATAATAATAACGATAATAAATAACAATAAAAATTAATGATAATAATAACAATAATAATAACTATAAAAATAACTATAAAAACGACTATAAAAACGACTATAATAATAATAATAATAATAATAATAATAATAATAATAATAATAATAATAATAATAATAATAATTAAAAAGCAATAATAATAATACTAATAATAATAATGATGATAACGATAATAATAATCATAATAATAAAATTTAATTATTAAAAACAATAATTACATATAATAGTTGTGAATAATAATAATAATAATAATCAATAATGATAAAAATAACAAATTATGATAATAATAGTAGTAATAATAAAAGGCTGTCAAGAGGATCAACTGCAACGCCCGGCACCGCCCGCCGCCCAGTAGCTCAGTAGTGCCATGGCCGCTCCCCGTCCTCCTCATCAATGTTCTCGGAGGACGAGTCCGCATCCGCCTGAAAATGTAATGGGATTCCCAAAGAATCCAAAAATCGGTGTTCACAGATCCTGCAAATCAACAGGTGAATGTGATACTCCCGAAAGCCTGTCCCAAGGCGCGGCTTTAGGTTAACTGACGTGCCAGAGGTGCTTGGACTGGTCTCACATAACTTGTGGGGCGATCGAACTAGATATCTGAGCCACGGTCAGCTATGCTGCACCCAACGGACACGCAGACGCAGGACTTCAACACCCCCTGGGTTGTTGTAACAATTCAGAGAGTCCGTCTCATGTCCCTGCCAACTTGACCCTTTCGGGACATCCCTTTCTCATCAAGTTTTCTCGCATTTCTCTGGAGACAGTTCGTGACGATCTGGACCACCTTAAAAGTGTTGGTTGACATAAATCCCCACCCATATGGTGCCGGCCAAAGGGTCGCCTATAAAAAATTCACACCCATCTAGCTTGGTGCATCGAAGTTTTCACTCCCCGGCCTGCTCCACGTCAGGCAGCGCCTCGGCCTCCGCCCTTCGCGAGGCCCGGACATCCTGGATACCAATATTCCCCTGTGCGCCAAAGGCATGCAGTCCCCGAGCTGTACATCTTAGGAGCACGGACAGAGGTTGCAAAATGCAGAAGCGGCGAAGATTCGAGTGTGAACGCGCCTCGCGTTTGGTAATGGAGAAGAAGCCATCAGAAAAACAAGAACAATAAATTCCAGAGGTCCAGAATAGTGATACACGTTTCCAAGTAGCGAGCAGCGGAAAATGGATATTTGCTCTTGTAATGTTTGGACACGCAGGAAATCTGAAGCACAACCAGGCCGCAAGCCATTGGGAAAAGCGTTTGCTTTCTTACGTCCCTACAAGAGGGAGTTGTGTTGCAAATGAAATAGCCCACAAAAAGCATGACATGTCTTGGTGGGATTTGAGGCACATCGGGTGTTCCTGCCACAATGTGGCGGAACGGCCGACGCAAAACCTTCTGGTTTCCCTCGGCCAGGCCTGCGGAAAGGTCACGTGCAGGAAGCCTTGGGCCGGAACAGGCCGAAATGCCTTCGGAAATCCATAGGTCCAGCTGAAGCAGTAGGGATCCTTCAAGTGCAAAGCTCGCTGTGGCCGCGGGTCGCTATCATTCGGCCAAGCTTAAAAAGCCAACCATGAACCACAGCACAGCTGAGAGTGAAGATTATCACATGTACCTCGCAGGTCCCCAAAGATGAAAAGAT